CCCTTTTCTCCCCCAACCACTCTCTGCCTGGCAGTACTCTCATGGTAGTAACAGTCTCTCTTCTCTCTTCCTCTCTCCCCCCTCTCTCCCCCAGCCGCTCTCTCCCTGGCAGTGCTCTGGAGCTGCGTTACTCCCATGGGGGGTCTCTCTCGTCTGACTCTCGAATGGACATGATGGACATTATGGACATGTCGGGACACGCCACAGTGGGACCCATGGTCCGCCGCAGCCAGCGGTCTCGCTGGAGCACCACCCACGACACCATCAAGGTACGACACCATCAAGGTACGACACCATCAAGGTACCACCGCCCACACAAGTCAGGACCAGAGGATGGTCCTGGTCCTTTGCTCAGGTCCCGTTTCCATGGACACTGAATCAGTGTCCATGTCCATGCATCAGTAAAACCATATACTGACTCTGAGACTGTGACTCTGTGACTGAGACTCTGTGACTCTGTGACTCTGTGACTCTGATCAACTAAAAACCAGTGTCTGCCTGACTCCGCCCACATGAACATTTGAAACTTTTCTCTATAAAGGAAGTTGCCCGAGGACCAGGCGGCAGGAAGAGGGGCTTAGAGCTGGGCGTGGTCTGGGCTGTGATTGACAGCTCACTTGTCAATCACACACAACAGTTGTTCCACAAACAGAGCTTCTCATTCCACCCTTTTTTCCACACACTAAGATAATTGTAGCGCTACACACCTGAACCTAAGAAGTATCTCAGTAGTAGTGGCTCTCAATGGATGTAATTTAGTTTTAAACCACTAGATGTCGCCAGAATAGTTTTATACCACAGGTACAGAAATGTCACACTGCACTCCAGAGCCAATGGAGAGGCCAGGACCAAATTCAAACGTCGTGCCACTGAAAATATAGAGAGGGCGCTACACAGACGGTTGTGCTCAAAAGTGAATGTTTTTCTAATTTGCACTAATATGTCAAAAAATTGACCAGGACATGTATAGAGCACTATAAGAAACATATTTATGCAGTTTATGAGTTCAAAAGTTGATTTGGTGTTTAGTTGTCTTGTCGGCAGATACAGGGGAGGATTCAATCCTTGGTCCAAACACAGCTGTATTTTCAGTTTGTCGCTGCTGTTGGTAAATACAGGTGCTGGTTCTTTGCTCTGAGAAGGATGTTGTTGAAGAAGTGGTTATTCAGCTGGGAGTCAGTTGTAAAGTTCCACTGCCCTCTACTGGCCAGAGCTAGAACTGCATGGTTTTCAGTCGCTGTCGACGCTGACCTCAGAATCCACAGTCCTTTTTGTGAACTGCAGCGTCTCTGTGTAAACAGGACCATAGAGCACTGTGATGTCACATAACCATAACCCTGATTTTAACCTCTGTTGTGTCTCCTCTTCCTCCTCCTCCTTCTCCTCCTCAGTACCCAGACTGGCCCTCAGATGTAGATGCAGGTTCTGATGAAGACGAGGCTGAGGTTCTGCTTCTGTCTCCTGCACAAGCTGACGTCCAGACTCTGGCTCTGATGCTGCAGCAGCAGCTAGAGGCCATCAACAATGAGATCAAGTGAGGACCTTAGACCGGCTTTAGAGCTGCGTTAGTCTTGCTTTAGACCTGGTCTAGACCTGGTTCCTGTCTCTTTCAGACTGATCCAGGAGGAGAAGGAAAACACGGAGCTGAGGGCAGAGGAGCTCCAGAGCAGGGTGTCTGTTTCCCTGGACTCTCCTCCTCTCGCCTCGTCGTCTCTGGGCAGAGGCTACATGTCCTCCTCCATCACCTCCTCCATCACCTCTTCCACACTGGCCTCCCCCTCTCCCCCCAGCTCGGGACACTCCACTCCCAGACTGCCCCACTCGCCAGCCCGGGAAAACGATCGACAGGTACGCAACTCCTCTCTCTCCTCTCTTTCCTCTCTCCTCTCTCCTCTCTCCTCTCTCTCCTCTCTTTCCTCTCTCCTCTCTCCTCTCTCCTCTCTCTCCTCTCTCCTTTCTCCTCTCTCTCCTCTCTCCTCTCTCCCCTCCCTTCTGTCTCCTCTCTCTCCTCTCTCCTCTCTCCTCTCTCCTCTCTCCTATCTTCTCTTTCCTCTCTCCCCTGACTCCTCCCTCTCCTCCCTCTCCTCCCTCTCCTCCCTCTCCTCGCTCCTCTCTCCCCTCTCTCCTCTCTCCTACAGAGACATACATTAATGCAGTGTTTTGTCCAGAAGGACGATGAGCGCTCTCTGTCCCTCCTGGACTCCCCTCCTCCCCCCACACCTCGCAACCTACGGCTGGACAGGACCCTCACCCCAGGGACATCGCTGGACGAGCACAGGGACATCCGCAGGTACGAGACCAAGCCCCGGTGATCCAAGATGGCGACCTGTTCAAATGAATGGCATGTGCTCAGTAGCGCATGGGACTTCACGGGGACCGAAAGATTAGCGGAACTCGCACATATTTTGGCAACGTCTGATCCTCCCGGTTCTGCGCAGTGGACGAGCTCCCATGATGCTTTGCGCCAAATACGCATGTGTGGCTCTCATGCACGTGCACAGAGGGGCTCGGCCGCGCTTTAACCAATCAGAGCTGCTGATCAGAGCAGTGGTAGAGCAGAGTCAGAGCGGGAAGGAAAGGAGCAGAGTTTGTGGCAGTAAAGTGTGGATTTGAAAAAAAACGAAGGATTTAAGAAGAATAAAAGTTCAGGATGACAAGGGACACTAAAATCCCCACAAAATCCGATCTTTATGAAAGCTGTAGATTCTCTGTCAGCTGAGGTCGAGCTGTTTTAGTTTACATTGAGTTCTATGGGACTTTTTTCTGGGTAGCCCACGTGAATTTAGTCTGTAGTTCCACGGGTGGGACAGCTATAAGCTAGTAATACCCTATCCAGTTATTATTTAGATCCATGTACACATGGGACACATATGAACACATAGGGACACAGAAGGCCAAATAGGGACACATAGGGACATATAAGGACACATAGGGACACATAAGGACACACAGGCACACATAGGGACATAAAAACACAGATGTTTATTGTTGCTTCTGTCCCAGTTTCTCGGATGGTACCAGCTGCAGTCAGGACTCTCTGCAGAAGAAGAGGAAAAGCATCAAGTCGTCCATCGGTCGTTTATTTGGGAAGAAGGAGAAAGGACGCATGGGACAGGACAGGTCTCTGGGTAAGACACATGGACCAGCTGGGACAGGACAGGTCTCTGGGTAAGACACATGGACCAGCTGGGACAGGACAGGTCTCTGGGTAAGACACAGGGACCAGCTGGGACAGGACAGGTCTCTGGGTAAGACACAGGGACCAGCTGGGACAGGACAGGTCTCTGGGTAAGACACATGGACCAGCTGGGACAGGACAGGTCTCTGGGTAAGACACAGGGACCAGCTGGGACAGGACAGGTCTCTGGGTAAGACACAGGGACCAGCTGGGACAGGACAGGTCTCTGGGTAAGACACATGGACCAGCTGGGACAGGACAGGTCTCTGGGTAAGACACAGGGACCAGCTGGGACAGGACAGGTCTCTGGGTAAGACACAGGGACCAGCTGGGACAGAACAGGTCTCTGAGTAAGACACATGGACCAGCTGGGACAGGACAGGTCTCTGAGTAAGACACATGGACCAGCTGGGACAGGACAGGTCTCTGGGTAAGACACAGGGACCAGCTGGGACAGGACAGGTCTCTGGGTAAGACACAGGGACCAGCTGGGACAGGACAGGTCTCTGGGTAAGACACATGGACCAGCTGGGACAGGACAGGTCTCTGGGTAAGACACAGGGACCAGCTGGGACAGGACAGGTCTCTGGGTAAGACACAGGGACCAGCTGGGACAGAACAGGTCTCTGAGTAAGATACATGGACCAGCTGGGACAGGACAGGTCTCTGAGTAAGACACATGGACCAGCTGGGACAGGACAGGTCTCTGGGTAAGACACAGGGACCAGCTGGGACAGGACAGGTCTCTGGGTAAGACACAGGGACCAGCTGGGACAGGACAGGTCTCTGGGTAAGACACATGGACCAGCTGGGACAGGACAGGTCTCTGGGTAAGACACAGGGACCAGCTGGGACAGGACAGGTCTCTGGGTAAGACACAGGGACCAGCTGGGACAGAACAGGTCTCTGAGTAAGACACATGGACCAGCTGGGACAGGACAGGTCTCTGAGTAAGACACATGGACCAGCTGGGACAGGACAGGTCTCTGGGTAAGACACAGGGACCAGCTGGGACAGGACAGGTCTCTGGGTAAGACACAGGGACCAGCTGGGACAGGACAGGTCTCTGGGTAAGACACATGGACCAGCTGGGACAGGACAGGTCTCTGGGTAAGACACAGGGACCAGCTGGGACAGGACAGGTCTCTGGGTAAGACACAGGGACCAGCTGGGACAGAACAGGTCTCTGAGTAAGATACATGGACCAGCTGGGACAGGACAGGTCTCTGAGTAAGACACATGGACCAGCTGGGACAGGACAGGTCTCTGGGTAAGACACAGGGACCAGCTGGGACAGGACAGGTCTCTGGATAAGACACAGGGACCAGGATCTGGATCATGTTTTTCATGTTTACAACACAAACACAATATTTGAAATGAGAGATTTGTGCTCCTCTTACCTCTCCCCTCTCTCTCTCCTTTCTCTCCTCTCTCCTCTTCTCCCCTTCTCTCCCCTTCTCTCCTCCTCCCTCCCTCAGCCTCCACACCCTCAGACGAGGTGGGACCTGGAGACTCCATGACCCTGACTAAGACCGGGACTCTGGGACCCGCCGACAAGGACCGACGCAACAAGAAGAAGTGAGTGACTTTACACATCTGTGGAACCAGCTCAAACTCACACTACCACGGGTACCATGGGTACCATAGTTATCAGGTACAGCTGCGCCACGACAATGGCGAACTATGGGCTCTTTGGGACGTGTGATCGCATTGAACACAAACTCTCTCTCCCCTCTCCTCTTTCTCCCCTCCCTTCCCTCATCTCCCCTTTCTCCCCCTGCTCCCTGTGTAACATGTCCTCCTTGTGTTGCTTCAGGCACGAGCTCCTGGAGGAGGCCTGTCGACAGGGTTTGCCTTTTGCCTCCTGGGACGGTCCCACCGTGGTGTCCTGGCTCGAGGTGAGTGGTGGGGGGTGAGGAGAGGAGAGAGGCGAAGTAGAAGACCAGCCTCTTTTAGTGTGTGGTACTCAGAGAACGTTCATATTTTTAAAAGTAGGCTCAAGACGCACCTTTTTAGAGTAGCTTTTGATTAGTTTTTATTATTCCATTCTATTTATCTTTTATTATTTATTATTTATTATATTGCTATTGCTATTATTCATGTATTGTGTGTTCCTTTTAGTCTCACATTTTAGTGTTTTACTTATTGTATTGTTTTTAGTGTACCCAGTGTTTCCTCTGGAGGAGCCCTCTGCACCGGGAGCAGTGGTCGGTGTGGCTGCGGGGGTCGGACTCTTGGGCCTGGTGGGGGCCTGGGGCCTCGGTTTCATGTCTCCTCTGGGTCCTGTGTCGTCCCCTGTGGCTACGGGCGGCTCTCTGCTCCTGGTGCAGACGGCTCCTTGGATGACGCTTTTTCAGCTGGTTGCATCTGAACCCTGCCAAGTCTCTCATCATGTTTTTATTGTTTTACTGGTGTGTGTGTGTGTGTGTGTGTGTGTGTGTGTATGAGTGTTCATGAGCGCGTGTGTGTGTGTTTGTCTGTGGTTTGGGGGGGGTCTGTTGGGTGGTCTGGGGGAGGGGTCTTGGGCCGGCGGGATTGTTTTTAACCAATCTGTAAAGCACTTTGTGTTGCATCTTATGTATGAAAAGCGCTTTATAAATAAAATTTGATTGATTGATTGATTGGTACATACATAACCTGTGCTCCTCTGCCCCATCCTCCTTCCCCGTCCCTCCCTTTCCTCCTCTCCTCCTCTCCGACCCCCCCCCCAGCTGTGGGTGGGCATGCCGGCCTGGTACGTGGCGTCCTGTCGCTCTAATGTGAAGAGTGGGGGGATCATGGCGAGTCTGTCGGACACTGAGATCCAGAGAGAGATCGGGATCAGCAACCCCCTGCACCGCCTCAAACTGCGGCTCGCCATCCAGGAGATGGTCTCCCTGACCAGCCCCTCTGCCCCCAGCTCTGCCTCTGTAAGACCAGGACCGAGACCAGGACCAAGACTGAGACCAGGACCAGGACTGAGACCAGGACCAGGACTGAGACCAGGACCATGACTGAGACCAGGAACTAGACCATATCCAGGACTGAGACCAGGGCCAAGACCAGGACTGAGACTTGACTAAGACTAAACCAGGTTTACCCAGGTCTTTTTGAGCTAAGTAAGTAAGTAAGTAAGTAAAGTTGATTTATATATCACATTTTACTGACTAAGGTCAGTAAAAGTAGTAGTAAAAGAAGTAAGCGCTTCACAATGTTCAGAGTTCAGATATTGTTCCAATCATTCCACACACGGTGATTACGGCTAATATTAGTCCAGATCAAAGGCATCTGCTTTTTTCCCGTGACCTAAATCCAGACCAGACTCGGGTACTTTTAATGATCTGTAGAAGACACATGTGAAACAGCTGGTCTCTCTCACTGCTGGTCTCTCTCTGCTCTCTCTCTCTTTGGTCTTCATCCTCACCCCTCTCCCTTCTCTTCCAGTCCTGCAGTAATGTGTGGATGACCCACGCTGAGATGGAGTCTCTAAACGCCGTCACCAAGCCGCCCGTAAGCCCCGCCCCCTCATCATAACCTGTGTTTATGGTTTGGAATGTTTTTATTTGGTCTCATTTCTGTTGTCTCTCTCCTCTCCTCCCCTCTCTCCTCTCCTCTCTCCTTTCCTCTCACCTCGTCCTCTCTCCTCTCCTCTCTTCTCTCCTCTCCCCTCTCCTCCATTCTCCTCTCTCCCGTCTCTTGTTTTTACTTTCCGTTCAGTTTTGCTTGTTGTGGTTGTGACTGTGAAGACTTCTGTCCCTGTGCTGCACAAAACTACATCTGCAGTCTGTAGAGGAGTCAGGCGGTGCATGTACGTCCTGACAGGTCCAGGGTTGGTCTTCAGAGCAGGTCTGGTCTAGTGCAACAAGGATCATCTGTTATTCTGATAAAAAATTGGGGAAACGGGACACAACACTAAGAGAGAGAACCTCCCCATGGACCATCTCTGAACCAGGTCTGAACCCGGTCTAAACCAGGTCTACAGTCTGTGGTCTGGAGCAGATGTAGTTTGTGTCTGTGATGTTTCAAACTAAGATCCCGTCACTAACTCCTGTGTCTACACACTCTGCTCTTCACTCCTTCTCACCCCCCCTACTTTCTTTCTTCTAACTCCTCCTCCTCTTGCTCCTCTCTTTCGTCTCACTCCTTCTCCTCCTCCTCCTCCTCTGTCTCTGCCTCTGCAGGAGCTAAAGGAGTTCAGCTGGGACCAGGTGAGAGATATTCGTCTTATTGTTATTTCTTTCAAACAAGTGTATGGGGGGTGCATCATGTTGTACATAAATAAAAGAGCAGTATGTAAGGAACTCCCTCTGCTGCCAACAGAGGGAGCAGCGACTGCAGTCAGAGCTCCCTGTAACTCTGCTGAATTATGTTATTGTAGAGATTGTTATTCCAAATTGTTATTCCAGAGAGAAATGACCAAAACTAATGTATGTGCCTAACTTTGGTTTTAAAGAAAACTTCTTTGAGTGTGATGTCACAGTGACCTCTCTCTGGTCTTTCTCTGGTCTTTCTCTGGTCTCTCTCTGGTCTCTTTCTCTCTGGTCTCTCTCTCTGGTCTCTCTCTGGTCTCTCTCTGGTCTCTCTCTCTCTGGTCTCTCTCTGGTCTTTCTCTGGTCTCTCTCTGGTCTCTCTCTGGTCTCTCTCTCTGGTCTCTCTCTCTGGTCTCTCTCTGGTCTTTCTCTGGTCTCTCTCTGGTATCTCTCTCTCTGGTCTCTCTCTGGTCTTTCTTTGGTCTCTCTCTGGTCTCTCTCTTTCTGGTCTCTCTCTTTCTGGTCTCTCTCTCTGGTCTCTCTCTGGTCTTTCTCTGGTCTCTTTCTGTCTCTTTCCTGTCACTCTGTGACCTTTCTGGTCTTGGGTCTCTCTCGTCGCTCTGGTGTCTCTCTGGTCTTTGGTCTCTCTGGTCTCTCTAGTCCTGGTCCTGGTCCACACCATGTGTCTCTTGTGTCCTCAGATCCTGGCCTATGGGGACATGAACCATGAGTGGGTGGGGAACGAGTGGCTGGCCTCCCTGGGTCTGCCTCAGTACAGGTCCTACTTCATGGAGTCTCTGGTGGACGCCCGGATGTTGGACCATCTGACCAAGAAGGAGCTGAGGGGACAGCTCAAGATGGTTGACAGCTTCCACAGGTGCTGAGACCCGCAGCTGTGTTGTGTCTTTGAAGCAGTCTGCAGTTACCACGGAAACCAGATCCTACCAGACACAGCAGATGCATCTAAGAGCACAGGGGAAAACAATGCTGAGTGGAAAGGGGAGAAGAGACAAGAGGGAAGAGAAGAGAGAGAGAAGGGAGAGAGGGAAGGGAGAGAGAAGGGAGAGAGAGAAGGTAGAGAGAGAAGGGAGAGAGGGAAGGGAGAGAGAAGGGAGAGAGAGAAGGTAGAGAGGGAAGGGAGAGAGGAAGAGAGAGCAGCGTTTGAGCAGAGAGGGTGGGGCTTACACTGCAGAGGGGGCGGAGCTTACAGTGTGCTGTGTACAGGGTGAGTCTTCACTACGGCATCATGTGTCTGAAACGATTGAACTACGACCGGAAAGAACTGCAGCGACGGAGAGAAGAAAGCGTCTCTGTGAACCACGGTGAGACTGCTCCTCTGGTCTCTCTGTGGTCTCTCTCTGGTTTCTGGTATCTTGTTTCTCTGGTCTCTTTCTGGCCTCCCTGGCCTCTCTGGTCTCCCCTGGTCTCACCTGGTCTTGTATTTCAGATGTGGTCGTCTGGTCCAATGAGAGGGTGATGCAGTGGGTGCAGTCTGTGGGTTTGAAGGATTACGCTGAGAACCTGAGAGAGAGCGGTGTCCACGGCGCTCTGCTCGCTCTGGACGACACCTTCGACTTCACTGACCTGGCCTTGCTGCTGCAAGTTCCCACGCAGAACACACAGGTGAGCTAATGCTAATGCTAACATCCCTTCTTTGTTGCTGTTGTTGTTTACTCATGGTGCGGTGTGTTCAGGCTCGACAGGTGCTGGAGCAGGAGTACAACTCTCTCCTCTCTTTGGGAACAGATCGACGGCCAGACGAGGTACTCCAAACAAAACAAAACCTCCGGTCTCTGTCTGGCCTCTCTCTGGTCCCTCTCTTGTCCCTCTCTGGTTCCTCTCTGATCCCTCTCTGGTCCCTCTCTGGAACCTCTCTGGTCCCTCTCTGATCCCTCTGTGGTCTCTCTGGTTCCTCTCTGGTCCCTATCTGGTCCCTCTCTGGTCTCTAACCATGTGTCTTGGTGTCAGGATGGACAGAAGTCCTTCTCTCGCTCTCCATCCTGGAGGAAGATGTTTCGGGAGAAGGACCTTCGTGGCGTAACCTCAGATTCTGCTGAGACTCTCCCTGCAAACTTCAGAGCCTCCGCACTGGCTGCGCCCCCTGTGACGCTGCGGAAAGTGAGTGACGGTGAGTACAACCACACCCTGACCACGCCCATAGCCGCCTGACCACCGTCGCCGCCACCTGGCCACGCCCACCCCACTAACTGACTATACCCACATCCACTTGACCATGCCCATAATCACCTAACCACGGCAACTACCACGTGACCACACCCACATAGAGAGAGACCAGAGACCGACCAGAGAAAGATTCTCCCTACTGTAGCCATTGATGTCACGTCATGAATTAATCCTGTGGAATGTACACACACACTAATACGCACACACACACAGAGTCTGACTTAAAAAAACCAAACATATGTTTAATTATTGTTTCCAGCAAACGCCGGATCTCGAGGGGACGCAGCCTCGGTGCGCACATACTCCTGCTGAGGTGAGGAACAACCCATTACAGACCAGAGAGAGACCAGAGAGACACCAGAGAGAGAGACCAGAGAGAGAGACCAGAGAGAGAGACCAGAGAGAGAGACCAGAGAGAGAGACCAGAGAGAGACCAGAGAGACACCAGAGAGAGAGACCAGAGAGAGACCAGAGAGACCAGAGAGAGAGACCAGAGAGAGAGAGATACCAAAAACATTTGTGGCGTTTCACATTGATCAGAGTTGTATTAAAGTCTCAGTTTGAATCTTTTGATTGAGTCTTATTTAAAGGTGATGTCCCTCTTCCTTGTCTGCAGGGGGCGCTGCTAGGATCTCGTCCTTCAGCCTCGGAACAATAGCAAAAAAAAACAGACGAAAAGTAACGAAACACTCCATCCGTCAACTCTGCAATAAACGGACAGACCACACGGGGCAGCGGCGAGCGCAGTGCTGGAGCAGCGATTGCCATAGAGACGCCACAACATCCTGGTTCTGAAGCAAGTTTCAAAAAGTCAAACAAAAGATGGTGTCCCTATAAAAAAAACAACATTGAATTACAATTTTAACTAACTATTAAATTACAATATTTCTGATCAACGATTTAAAAAAAGTCTAATAGAGCGAAACCAGAGAGAGAGACCAGAGAGAGAGACCAGAGAGAGATCAGAGAGAGAGACCAGAGAGAGACCAGAGAGAGAGACCAGAGAGAGAGAGACCAGAGAGAGAGATCAGAGATCAGAGAGAGAGATCAGTAGCATGTTACTTCGTCTGTGCTGACAGCTGTGCTACGTCCTCTTCTTTCATTTGTTCAAAAACTCGTAAATGTTTAGAGTTTCATGTTTCTGGAGGAGACAAAAGCGTCTGGACCTGAGGACATTGACCAGGATTTATGGTATCCCTCTAGACCTGCCCAGATCAGAGAGGGACCAGAGAGAGAGAGAGAGACCAGAGAGAGGCCACTAAAGACTACAAGCTGTCATAGATGTTAAAGAACAACATGCTTGGGGTATGGAGACTTCTGATCACGCTCCTGTTGTTATAATTGTGTGTAAATCTCAGCTGTTCAGATGCATTTCCTGCAGATGGATAGAGCGCTCCTCGTTCCAAGCCATAGCCGCCGCCGCCGGACTCTTCTCATGGTGATGATTATAAATATGTAATTACAGATGGTTTAGGCGTGAGGTGCTGCATGTGAGCCGTGTCCGAGGCGGACATTTGTAAAGTGTCTTTTTTCAGTTTTCTCTTGTTGATTTTTTACGATGATAATCCTGTGTAACGTTCTGTTGAGACTGTGATTGTCGTCAGTGGGACCCAGGTCCAAATAAAGACTTCCTCTGGATCCAGACTCCGCCTCCACTATCTTTACAGTGTCTAAAGCTCAGGTACCTGACTTTCAAACAATGGACATGGTAAAACAAAGTCCCCGGTTACTGGCTCTAAAACAACAACTACTACTACTACTACTACTACTACTACTACTACTACTACTACTACTACTACTACTACTACCCCAGCTTTTAACATGTATTTATGAGACTGAAGTTACGGACCCCAGCTTTAACAAATAAACAGTGACGAGTACAAAGTTAATTTATTGACACAAAAACAGACGTTAAAATGACTTTGCTTCACCGTTGGATTTTCTGGTTTATAAAACTTCCTGCCGCTATAAAAATATATAAAATGTCACAGTTGCTGACATTTCTGTCCAGTTCCAGCAGTGACCAGTGGGCATCAGGAAGGGGGCGCTGTCCACACCAGTCCATAAATACAGGCCAAGATACAAACAGGTACACAATATCGATATATTCTCATCACATACATGCAGCGCAAGCCAAATAAATAATACTCTAACACTACAGATCTATCTATGAGGTCATTGTGTGTTTGGGGGAAGGACGGGAGAAGGGGGAGAGAGGGGAGAGCGAAGTAAGAGGTTAAAAGAGGTGAGAAGTAAAAGCCACAAACAGCTGAACAATGACTTAATCTTGATCAAATTTAACAGTGTTTTTTCTCCATGAACCACGTCTGAGGCTGAAGGGTGAAGGTTCTAATCCTGCTCCACACAAACAATGGATAAGCAGGAGTACTCCTCTCTCTCCCCTCTCTCTTTCACCCTCTCGCTCGCCCGAGCCCAGGCCCTGCCCTGTTCCCATTGGTCCGTGACAGCAGTACGCAGACACAGGAGGCGTCGATGCGTATCCACCTCCAGCCCATGCGGTTGTTAGCGTCTTTAGTTAACGCGCGCACAAACGACGGCTTAGCGATGCAGCGGCTCCTCCACTGCTTCTTATCGATGCCGAGGCAGCTGCCACCGTCCACTCCGGTCTCCTCGACCCTGCGCTCGCTGCCCACATCCTCACGCCTGCGCTCGCTGTCTACCTCTTCACGCTCCGCCTGGCGGCAGCGCGTCTCATAGAAGTACTGTTTGATGGGGCCGCTCTGTGTCTGGATCTCCTGGATGATGGTCACCTGTGGAAACACAAGGGACGAATTTAGACAGCAGTACTGAGAGTTTGGTTCAGAAGAAACACAACTAAAGCTGCAAGCGGCATCGGAAGGCCCTTGCGCCCTCTTCACAGCTGTCATGGAGGGAAACCTGTCTCAGATGAAACTGAACTTTCACACGTTGCCATGTGACTGTGAATTCAGAGCCACAGACCCAAACACACCCCACCCCCCCAAGGAAACAAGGTTAAAACTGACGCACACACGCACTAAGTGTAATGATGTTCTCTCTGACTGCATTTAGAACAAGGCAGAATCTGAAACACCAGCGGTCAGGAGGTTCTGACCCTGTTGTGTGAAACTACACTGATCCTGACACTGATCTCCAAGCTTCTCTGAAACATTTCTGTCAACATTTCAGTGCTATTGTGTCACGTGACCAAGCACATCGTAGCTTCCTGTACACACCGCATGCGTCATGTGAAGAGGAGCAACTTGCGCAGTGGTGCTGGTTTGAAATACGTACCCATGTTATCAGCAAGGAGCGTACAAACCGCACAAGCAGACAAGGGCAGTGCCGCGCACAGAGCCGCACCGAGCCGCGCACCGAGCCGCGCACCGAGCCCCGCACCGAGCCGCGCACCGAGCCGCGCACCGAGCCGCGCACCGAGCCGCGCACCGAGTTGCGCACGCCAGCCCAAAATAAGAGCCTTGAGTATTTTTACTCGTGCAGTGACGCGGTTCCAGTCAAAACTAGGGATGTACTGAATACAGGATTCGGTTTCGGATTCGGCCGAATATAGGCTTTTTTGACGGGGTTCGGTTTCTGGCTGAATCTTAGAATTTTTCCCCACCAAACCGAATCCTGTGCTTACACTATGCGCGCTGTAGCAGCTAATAGATCCATGTGCGGCTGCTGGATTCGTCCCGGAAACCGGATTCGTCCCGGAAACCGGATTCGTCCCGGAAACCGGATTCGTCCCGGAAACCGGATTCGTCCCGGAAACCGGATTCGTCCCGGAAACCGGATTCGTCCCGGAAACCGGATTCGTCCCGGAAACCGGATTCGTCCCGGAAACCGGATTCGTCCGGAAGTTCAGTGTGCACCTGTCAAAGTGTAAATAAACATGTAAACAGTTTGCGTTGTTATACAGTATACAGATTATATTGTTGATTTGTGCTCATATGTATCAAGGTTAATTACGAGAAATAGCAGGAAAAAAGCTCAGAGAAAAAAATACTTTTAGTAGCCGGCAGCTAGCGCCCAGATGCGTTCAAAGGCACACGGAAATGAGGGAAACACATAGACAGTTTACCATTTTATTCCGAATAATTATTTCAGAAATACAACACAGGGATACACATAACAGGTGTATGATGATTAAACAAGTAAAGGACACTGAATCTAATCAAGAATTAAACTGTCTATGTGTTAGCCTCATTTCCTTGTGCCTTTGAACGCATCTGGGCGCTAGCTGTGCGCTACTAAAAGTATTTTTTCTCGAAGTAGCTCAGGCTGTGTGAGTGAGAAAGTGAAAATGGAACCCGTGAGCAGAAAAAGTGTTGTTTGGCAGAACTTTCAGTCCAAAGGTGATTCTAGTCGAGCTATGTCCAAATTGCAACGCTGATTTGTCTCGTGGTTTTTAAGGATCCTAAACAGTACACAACATCGCCGCTGTTAAAACATTTGCGTATGAAACATGAATGTACTGAGGATGGAGTAGGATTCGGTATTCGGCCGAACTCCAAAAATCTGGATTCAGTACATCCCTAGTCAAAACACATGGAAACATGTTTGTGCTGATGGTCCTTGGCTCTAGGTCACTCCACACTATTCAACATCAGCAGGAAGAGCAAATTTGACAGAACTTCGCCCGTTTCTGTATTTCATAAGTCTTGCGTCCGACCAGACCAACACACACTATGAAGACAAACGCATACATCTGACACACAGGCCTCTGGACATGCTGCTGGTGTGTGTATGCATGCCGCGAGACTCCCCTGCCGAGGAGAGACACGTGGCTTTCGCTGTGTTTTTACTGTGATATATAGAAAAATTAAATTATTACACTGTTCCCCTTGGTGTCCACCGCCGTCGTCTTGTCCGTGACCCAGACGTTGACCGACTCGCACACCGACCTCTGACCCCAGCGTTGCTCCGTGAGGGACCGTCTGTGTCTCCTGGTCCCCTCCTCCTCCTCCTCCTCCCCCTCCTCCCCCCACCCGCCCTCCTCTATCAGTGCGAGAGGAGGCAGCTGCGGCGGCGAGGGAGAGAACATCACACGTGGATGAGCGTCCCAAAACACATCACTGTCCAAAAGACCGTCCAGATCCAAGACCTGGTCCTGTGTCCTCTGCTGTGAGACCTGGTCCTGTGTCCTCTGCTGTGAGACCTGGTCCTGTGTCCTCTGCTGTGAGACCTGGTCCTGTGTCCTCTGCTGTGAGACCTGGTCCTGTGTCCTCTGCTGTGAGACCTGGTCCTGTGTCCTCTGCTGTGAGACCTGGTCCTGTGTCATCTGCTGTGAGACCTGGTCCTGTGTCCTCTGCTGTGAGACCTGGTCCTGTGTCCTCTGCTGTGAGACCTGGTCCTGTGTCCTCTGCTGTGAGACCTGGTCCTGTGTCCTCTGCTGTGAGACCTGGTCCTGTGTCCTCTGCTGTGAGACCTGGTCCTGTGTCATCTGCTCAGGTGCTCCTTTTACATCCATGTGATTTTTGTACAACTCCACATGTTCTGTAACGTCCGTGCGTGCCTCCTCCATGTGCGCCTCCTCTATGCGTGCCTCCTCCATGCGCGTCTGCTCTATGCGCGTCTGCTCTGTGCGCGCCTCCTCCGTGGGCGCCTCCTCTGTGCGCACCTCCTGTGTGCGCGCCGCGTCCCTAGTGTTTGTTAGTTTGTAAACTCCATTGCCACTGTTTGTCAATGAATCCCTGTGGTTCTTCTGTTCAGCCATGTTGTAGTCCATTGGGACAGAGTTGTAGTCCACTGGGGCAGAGTTGTAGTCCACTGGAGCAGAGTTGTAGTCCACTGGGGCAGAGTTGTAGTCCACTGGGGCAGAGTTGTAGTCCTTCTGGGAGTTGTAGTCCTTCTGGGAGTTGTAGTCCTTCTGGGAGTTGTAGTCCTTCCGGGAGTTGTAGTCCTTCCGGGAGTTGTAGTCCTTGTGGGAGTGGGCGTCTGGAACATGGCGGTGCAGCGGTGGCGGAGGAAGTGATGCAGCTGCGATGCGGGCGGTGGGCTTGTGCGGGAAGGGCAGGGCCGAGGCGATTACCATGGCAACCAGGGGAAGCCAGTGCATCACTCCCAAAACAGATCAGCTGGAAGAGAGAAGATAGCTTTTACACATGCAAGCGGCAACAAACGGCCCTCAACGCTCACAAGGTGAGAGTGTGTGAGGTGCTGTTGGACCAACAACATAAATGAAGAAATAGACACACACACACACACACACGCACGCACGCACACACACAATCATTAAACGGCATCAAACTACAGGCTGTAATGGAATATTTGTAATTCAAATGTATTTGTACCACGCCTCCAAAGGTCACATCACAAACACTGACGATAACATCAGCAGGAGCCAGAGATGGTGAGTGTGGCACAGTTACAGAGCGAGAGGTGTTTACTTGAACATGAAAGTCACTAGGGGCGAGAGAGTGATGGTACTTTCCTTTTGGGCTTCATTGAGCTCTCTTGTCGCTCTCTGGTCTCTCTCTGGTCTCTCTCTGGTCTCTCTCTGGTCTCTCTCTGGTCTCTCTCTGGTCTCTCTCTCTGGTCTCTCTCTGGTCTCTCTCTGGTCTCTCTCTGGTCTCTCTCTGGTCTCTCTCTGGTCTCTCTCTGGTCTCTCTCTGGTCTCTCTCTGGTCTCTCTCTGGTCTCTCTCTCTGGTCTCTCTCTCTGGTCTCTCTCTGGTCTCTCTCTGGTCTCTCTCTGGTCTCTCTCTGGTCTCTCTCTGGTCTCTCTCTGGTCTCTCTCTGGTCTCTCTCTGGTCTCTCTCTGGTCTCTCTCTCTGGTCTCTCTCTGGTTTCTCTCTGGTCTCTCTCTGGTCTCTCTCTGGTCTCTCTCTGGTCTCTCTCTGGTCTCTCTCTGGTCTCTCTCTGGTCTCTCTCTGGTCTCTGTGGCTGCAGTATGAATGACAGATGGATGTTAGTTTAGTTAGTTTAGTTTAGTTAGTTAGTTTATTTTTTTTCTTCGGTCAATATGTACACCCGACCTCGGGTCACACGGATACAGAGCTCATTTACTTTTTACAACAAGAAAATAAAAATAAAATGAAAAAAAAGAACCAAAATGTGTCCATAAAGGACCTTGTGCGAAACAATACCTGACCGAAAGGGTTTAGGCTGAAGTCGAAACTTATACTGCCTAACCCCTAATACAATGTGAAAATACGTCCAAAGATGACAAATTATACAGTTTCTCATATACTAACGACGGCAACATGAAGCACCAAAAACTTGCACTTGAACAAATCAAAATTTGTTATACATGATCAAAATTGTAAATGACACAACATACAATTTCTCATATACCAACGATGGTAACATGAGGCACCAAAAAATTGCACTTCAACAAATCAAAATAATGTTATACATGATCAAAATTATAGGTGACACAATATACAGATTCTCATATACCAACGATGGTAACATGAAGCACAAAACATGAACTCCCATAAACACGAGTTATTAAGCGTAGTCCAATTCAATTGTCCTATACTTCTCCATACTATTTGACTTATACTTTTTTTTGAATGTTTTAATAGTTCTTGAGCCCTTAAGTTGAACAGATAGACTGTTCCATAGATCAACTCCTTTGACTGATACACATCTCCTCTTAGTATTACTCTTTGCTCTGGGTTTCTGAAGCAGATCAGTTCCTCTGAGGCTGTAGCTACATTCTCTAGTATGAAACATCTTTTGTAAACAGTGAGGAAGCATGAAGTTGTGAGCCTTGTATAACACAGCTGCAGTGTAAACATCAACAAGATCATACAATTTTAGAATATTATGTCTAATAAATAGTGGATTTGTTGGGGCAAGGTATTCGGCATGACTGATCACTCTGATGGCTTTCTTTTGTAAGATAAAGATAGGTTTTATATTAGTTTTGTAGGTATTCCCCCATAATTCCACACAGTAGCTGAGGTATGGAAGGATGAGGGAATTGTACAGTATATATAAAGCATTTTGATTTACAGAAGTTTTAATTTTACACAGTATAGCAATGAGTTTAGAAATTTTAGTCTTTAGAGTGTTTATATGCACTTTCCAGTTTAACTTATGATCAATATTGATTCCTAAAAACTTTGTTTCATACACCCTTTCAATGTCTACCTCCCCAATACTGATTTTACATGGGGTCTTTATTATTTCCCTTTTTCCAAAGATAATATATTTAGTTTAATGCAGATTTATGGAAAGTTTGTTTACATCAAACCATGTTTTTAATATCTTGAGTTCACTTCCTACTGTATTTAGAAGCAGCCCAAGATCTTTTCCAGAACAATACAGACTAGTATCATCAGCAAATAAGATGCATCGTGATTTATTAAGAACTTCACAGATTTCATTTATGTACAAAATAAATAATTTGGGTCCTAATACGGAGCCCTGAGGAACACCGTGGGTTATTTTTGCTTCCATTGAGCTGATATTATTGATTTTGACATACTGACTTCTATCACTTAAATAACTTTTTAGCCAAGTGTGCGCTAAGCCCCGAACCCCATACCTTTCCAATTTATTTAAAAGCAATGAATGATCTATTGTGTCAAAAGCCTTGCTTAGGTCTATGAAGACTCCAACAGCATACTCACTGTTCTCAAAGATGTAGCTATGTTTTCCACTAGTTCCATGACAGCCATTGAGGTGGACCTATTGGATCTGAAACCGTACTGATGTTCACTCAACAAGTTATGCTTGTCTACAAAACAATCAAGTCGTTTGACGAATAGTCTTTCCAGTATTTTTGAAAACTGTGAGAGTATAGAGATTGGTCTATAATTTGTTAACTGCTGCCTGTCACCGTGTTTAAATATGGGTATAACTTTGGCAGTTTTCATTTTACTTGGAAAAATACCCGTTAGAAACGACTGATTACATATATACACAAGAGGCTTGACAATATAATTACTGATCTCTTTCACTAGAAACATGTCCATGTCAGATCCATCTGTTGATCTTTTAGCACTAAAGGAATTTACAATTTCAATAATTTCTCTCTCACTGACACTTCCAATGAAAAGTGAATTTGCATTATTTGTTGTAATTCTTTCATCAATTTCATTCACATTGTTTGGTCTCACAATTTCATTGGCTAACGTCGGCCCAACACTGACAAAGAAGCTGTTAAATGCATTTACAATATCCTTTTTTTCACTGATAACTGAATCATTTACTGTAAAATAATTTGGATATTCTTCCTTTTTTTCCCCGTTTCTGATAATGCCATTCAATACCTTCCAGGTACCTTTGATATTACGCTTGTTCTGCTCCAAAGCATTGTAATAGTATGCTTTTTTATTAGATCTTATTATTTGAGTTAATTTATTTTTATACGTTTTGTACCTTTCTTCAGTTTGTTTAGTCCTCTGCTTTAAATGTGCTCTGTAAAGTTTTTGCTTTCTTTTACAAGCCTTAACTATGCCCTTGGTAAACCATGGCTTATCCTGGTTGATTTTGATTTTACTATAGCATTTCATACGTGGACAGTGCTGGTCATACAGTTGTATTAATGTACGTAGGAAGGCATTGTATGCTCTATCCGGGTCTGGAGTTGCATACACTTCTTCCCATGTTTGGCTACTTAGGTCGCCCTTGAGAGCGGCCATAGCTTCAGGTGTGCGGTGTCTTATAAATTGGATGTCCTTTATTTTGGTTATGTTCTTTTGTAATTGTTTGAAGATGCTAAAGATTGGCAGATGGTCAGTGATATCATTGATAAGTACTCCAGCTGTAATTTGATTTGTTAACTGATTAGTAAATATATTGTCTATTAGTGTCGACGTGTCCGTGGTAATTCTGGTTGGCTGATTAATAAGGGGGAAAAGAGTGTTGCTGTACATAGTATTAATAAAGTCTGAGGTTTTTATGTTTTTCTGAGAGTCAAGAAGATTGATATTAAAGTCACCACACACAATATGGACCTTGTTTGAATTACTCATACTAAAGAGGGTGTCAATATTCTTGTTGAAATTATCTAGACATGATCCGGGTGTTCTGTACACACAACTAACTACAATATTTTTTGACCTTTCTACAATAATTTCACATGTTATACATTCCAAAACATCATCAATAGTGGTTGACTTACCACCAATCTTTTCACATCTCAGGTCCGTATCTATGTAAAGTGCAACGCCTCCACCCCTTTTATTAATCCGATTGACGGTGAACAGTTCATATCCATCTAATTCCACCTCACAGCTGTCTCCATCCAGCCAAGTCTCAGACACAGCTATGACACTGAATTTTCTAAATTGGCTAGCCGCTAAGGTAATATTTAATGTCGTTAAAATGTTTTTTCAAACTCCTGCTATTGAAGTGAATAATGCTAAAGGATCCATTCCTATTAATGCTTTTAAATTGTTCATCAGTATAGACATCGCAATCATTCATTATATTGTTAAACAAATGTGTATGTAATGTATTTAACGAAGAATATAACATCAAACGAGTGAAGGGAGTTCAGTTCTGGACAAACCGCATCTGCCGCATTCTGCTGTCTGTGATGTCACCGCCGTATTTGACACGCACCTTCACAAGAATGTGTTATGATACATGCAAAATCTGTGGTCATGTTCTCTCAGGTCTCTCCCTGGTCTCTCTATGGTCTCTCTCTGGTCTCTCTCTGGTGTCTCTCTGGTGTCTCTCTGGTGTCTCTCTGGTCCCTTGCTCGCCTCTCTCTGGTCTCATGGTCAAGTCATGTTCCCAAATCGCCTAGGCCTTTAAAGGGGCAGAGCATGAAGTTCACAGTATGTCCCCTTTAATCTGCAGCCTGCTCCCGTACATGCCATAAACAAACGCTCGAATATAAATAATAACCTCCATTATGTGGAGGAATGTGTTTAACAGAAAGAGGCCTCCAGCTCCTACACACAGTCCATCAATGACAGCCTCAGTCCTGGGTCTACAGCCTCAGTCCTGGATCAACAGCCTCAGTCCTGGGTCTACGTCCTGGGTCTACAGCCTCAGTCCTAGGTCTACAGCCTCAGTCCTAGGTCTACAGCCTCAGTCCTGGGTCTACAGCCTCAGTCCTGGATCTAATGCCTCAGTCCTGGGTCTACGTCCTGGGTCTACAGCTTTAAGTCCTGGATCTACAGCCTCAGTCCTGGATCTACAGCCTCAGTCCTGGATCTACAGTCTCAGTCCTGGATCTACAGCCTCAGTCCTAGATCTAAAGCCTCACTCCTGGGTCTACGTCCTGTGTCTACAGCCTCAGTCCTGGGTCTACAGGGTTATAACTGAGAACGTATACAGGATCTCTTTTTCTAAATGTTTCTCTGGTTTCTCTCTGTGCTCTCTCTCTCCCTCTCTTCCTGGCGGTGATGTTACATGTATTCTGTGCTGTCGAAGGTTAATTGAAAACATCCTCAGGGCATCTGAGAAAACTATGGAAGCCCGTTTCCGCCATGTAAAAAAAAAAAAAAACCTACAGAAAGTCAAAATTTTGACTTTAAAACTCAAAATTTCGACTTTAAAAGTCAAAATTTCGACTTTAAAAGTCAAAATTACGAGTTTTCAACTGCGCATGTGCAGTTGAAAACTCGTATGTGTTGTTGTCTGGAACGGTCTCTGGTCATCCCTGTTATAGATCCATGACCATGGGTCATCCTCTACCTGCAGATTATGTAAAGATTTTGCCTACAGACAGTGACCACATCCATGAAGTAGCAGCAATAATGTTGTGGTAGTAATCGCGTTAAAATGCAAACGGTCTCTCCGTTTATGATTAGAATCCGCTTCAGAAGCCTCAATTTAATTTATCCTAAACGGACTGTGGAGGATTAATAATAAAACACATGTGGCTGTTCAAAGTCATTGAGCATCAACTGGTGACGTCTGGTCAGTATCACGGCGATCGATGGATGCACCAGAAATGCACTGAATGATATTGTGACTGACAGAGAGACCGTTCGCGATTACTGGACAGTGAGAGAGGTCCGCAGACAGAGGCAGGAGAACCACAGTCACGGGCACTGACATTATTACCCTTTTGGAATTGCGATCAGTGCATTGAAGAGTATGTGACGTGTGTGCGTGCACGCGGGGGTGAGCTGATGGAGCGAGCGTGCGGGTAAAGTTGTTGGCGTATGAGCAAGAACACAGAGACATATAGGGAAGAAGTACCTTGTCTGATTTTTTTATTGTGACAAAATAAAGCCCACGACTCTTTTAGCAACAATCCGGAGAAATAACTCCGCAGATAACAGTGAGGGTCTTTGAAAAGGGAGTTAAACCCATTATAGATGCATGAATAAAACCCCGTACTCAACACGTAGAAAGCGCATCCTTTCAGCCGTGGAAATACTCGCTCCGTGTGGACCCCTCTCAGCGCCATCGTCTGGTCAGAGTGAGGTATAGCAGATTGGATTGGAATGTCTCGATGGCTCATTTTCCATTGATTTATTATAAAAACATATTGCTCACATTATTTGTTACTATGTCGAAATAAGAAGTCGTTTGATTTAAATGTTGTATATATGTAAATTGAATTTACATAAATAAATAAAAAGACAGCTCCCCCTGCGTCCTACGACCGCGGTCTGGGGCTTAAACAGGAAAGTTTTACAGAATCAATCAAACAACATTATTTCTGGCTACTTCAAGGATGCAGTGGTCACTGTAGGCAATAAGTTCACATAATCTGCAGGTGAAGGATGTCCAGAGACCGTTCCAGACAACAACACATACGAGTTTGCAACTGCACATGCGCAGTTGAAAACTCGTAATTTTGACTTTTAAAGTCGTAATTTTGACTTTTAAAGTCGAAATTTTGACTTTTAAAGTCGAAATTTTGACTTTTAAAAGTCGTAATTTTGAGTTCTAAACTCAAAATTTTGACTTTCTGTATGCTTTTTTTTTTTTTACATGGCGGAAACGGGCTTCCATAGAAAACTGTTTGCTTTGGAAGCGAAAGAAACAGAAGCTATAACTCTCAACCGTCACCTGTGATCTCTACTGTCAATACCACAGAGAGACCAGAGAGAGACCAGAGAGAGACCAGAGAGAGACCAGAGAGAGACCAGAGAGAGACCAGAGAGAGACCAGAGAGAGACCAGAGAGAGACCAGAGAGAGAGATCAGAGAATAAAACAGTTGATTCCATCACTAGTTTTTACTTCATGTCTGGCCTCTGTCACATCTTTCAATCAAAATTTCCAGGCAGAGAGGACCACCCTCACTCAGCCAATTAGCTCTCAGCAATTTGTTCTGATTTGAACATTTTCCTCAGTTTGCAGACTTCAGTCTCTGTGCTGGACCTGCGTCTGTCCCTGTGCTGGATCCGCGTCTGTCCCTGTGCTGGATCCGCGTCTGTCCCTGTGCTGAATCTGCGTCTGTCCCTGTGCTGGATCCGCGTCTGTCCCTCCTGTGCTGGATCCGCGTCTGTCCCTGTGCTGGATCTGCGTCTGTCCCTGTGCTGGATCCGCGTCTGTCCCTCCTGTGCTGGATCTGCGTCTGTCCCTGTGCTGGATCCGCGTCTGTCCCTGTGCTGGATCTGCGTCTGTCCCTGTGCTGGATCTGTCCCTGTGCTGAATCTGCGTCTGTCCCTGTGCTAGATTTGCGCCAGTCCCTGTGCTGGATCTGTGTCTGTCCCTGAGGTGAATGTAACGTGTGACCAAAGCCAAGCTGTGTGCAAAGTGCTGCAATTACAGATAACGTTATAAAAACAACTATTCATCAACTGCAGCTACTTATCCAAATGTTTGGAAAGAATGTATGGACCTCCTCTGAGCTGGGCCTGGTTTTGTCCTGGGTTAGACCTTTTTTGGTCCTGCTTAAGACATGACTTAGTCCTGCTGTAGACATGACTTAGTCCTGCTGTAGACATGACTTAGTCCTGCTGTAGACATGACTTAGTCCTGCTTAAGACATGACTTAGTCCTGCTGTAGACATGACTTAGTCCTGCTGTAGACATGACTTAGTCCTGCTGTAGACATGACTTAGTCCTGCTTAAGACATGACTTAGTCCTGCTGTAGACATGACTTAGTCCTGCTGTAGACATGACTTAGTCCTGCTGTAGACATGACTTAGTCCTGCTGTAGACATGACTTAGTCCTGCTGTAGACATGACTTAGTCCTGCTGTAGACATGACTTAGTCCTGCTTAAGACATGCTTTACTCGTGCTTTTGACCTGTTATAGTCCTGCTTTGGTTCTTGTTCAGACCTGTTTATCCTGTGATTCTCCCAGAACAGCTCGCATTAATAAACAGAAGTAGAATAAAGTCCTTCTCTCCTTCAGACTCTGGAGTTTGGTGCGCGTCATGGCTGTGCGCGCTTGGAGACGTGTGCAGATCTTACCGTTTAGGAGAGATTCGGACCGCGCTCACTTCCAGCGGACACATGAGCAAAGGCTGCAGTCCTGTGGATCCTCAAACGGTCCCAAATCAACTCCACACAACTTTTCCCCCAGGCTCTGACCCTGTGCCACACATCGCATGTGCGCAGTGCGAACCAGTCGCGAGTTATAAAAAGGTCTCCAAAGAAAAATCAAGACCACGTCTGTGCGTCCAAAGGTATTCCACGTGCTGTAGTCCCACGTCAGAGTCCGCGTAAGGCTGTGTGTGAGCGGAGAAATGCCACACGAACCGGGAGAGGAGCTGGTTTTAGGTTTAAGGTCCGCCTGGAACGCGAATGACAGGCTAGAGTCCAGCTGACGGTAGCGAGCAGCGAGAGCACCGGGAAACGCCTTCAAAATAAAAGCACACGCCAACAAATGTATATTACCAAGTTTTACTGTGAAGGGACATCGAAATGTACTTCTTCTACGATCTGGGCTTATACAAAAGTAACCCCGACACCTGCTTTTGATGCTAATTCACGAGTTTGTTTATGTTTTAGCGATTGATTTTTTTTGGACAAAGCTCAATTCTTTCCTGCGTAAGACGGACAGTTAACATTTTATAGAAGTTTGAGTTAGATTCGACACTAAAATGACCGTGGCACTGAACGTGGACGAGTGGCGGGAACGCAGATGCTAGCGTTAGCTACATAGTCAAAGAGTATATAGCTAGCTACATATATCTATATATATATATATATATATATATATATATATATATATATATACTCTTTGTTATAGAAAGAAGCACTGATTTACCCTGGGGAAAAGGTAATGATTTATTTTTCTGTAAGATATGGACCAGTTATTAGTTAGTAGCAGTTTATTTTGTTAGTTTCATCATGAAGCTACTTTTAAAGGTCTGTCGTCTCGCAGAATTTTGAAGTCTATTTCTAAACCTCATATCATATCATATGTATTATTTTGTAAAAACTTTGAATGCAAGTTAAATATGGAGCTATTATTGTTTCAATATTATTTGTGTGTGTAAACAGATTTGTGTGTGCGTAAAAAGATTTGTGTGTACGTTAAAAGATTTGTGTGTGCGTAACCAGATTTGTGTGTGTGTAAAAAAAATATTTGTGTGTGTGTAAATAGATTTGCATATAGTATCAAGATTTTTGTGTGCGTAAAAAGATTTGTGTGTGCGTAAAAAGATGTGTGCGTGCGTAACAAGATTCGTGTGTGCGTAATTAGATCTGTGTGTGTGTAAAAAAAAAAATTTACCCCCTACACACAAGTCTTTTTTTTTTACACACAGATCTTTTGACGCAGTCCTGCCTTCGCAGATTCACAAGCGTAACTTGGACTGTGTGCATGTGTAAACAGATTTGTGAGTTTGGAATTAGGCATTTGTGTCTGTATCACAACAATCTGTGTGTATGACCACCTTGTACGAAGAGAAGAACGGAAAAAAGCCTAAGAGCTACGCACAGGCTCTCGTTTTACACATAAATCTCTTTTTGACACACTTCTGCCGCCAAGCGTGTGTCAAAAGAGATTCGTAGGTGTAATGTGGTTGTTCTAGCAGTACACCAGCAGATGGTGCTGTTGTAGCTGGTTATACACGCAAGCAAACCAGCAGAGTTTGTGGCACTAAAGTGTAGATTTAAAGAGAACCGAAGGATTTAAGAAGAAGAAAAGTTCAAGATGACAAGGGACACTAACATCCCCACAACATCCGACCTTTATAAAAGCTGTAGGTTCTCTGTCAGGTTCTCTGTCAGCTGAGGTGGAGCTGTTTAAGTTTACATTGAGTTCTATGGTGGAAAATGTCTGTGTAGTCCACTGAATCCAGTCTTGTTTAGTCTGCAGTACCACAAGAGTCCCCCTAGCACGTGGGTCCTTCAGCTCCAAGCTAGTAATACCCTATCCAGATTATATAGTAGATCCATGTATCATACAGTGGTGTGAATGACAGGATTTTGAATATAGAAAAAAACATAAACAGCTGCGGTAGTGTATCTTGTCAAGGCAGTAGGTTTTTGTTTGCTTGCGTGTAATAACCAGCTACAACAGCACCATCTGCTGGTGTACTGCTAGAACAAACCACATTACACTTACGAATCTCTTTTGACACACGCTTGGCGGCAGAAGTGTGTCAAAAAGAGATTTGTGTGTAAAACGAGAGCCTGTGCGTAGCTCTTAGGCTTTTTTCCGTTCTTCTCTTCGTACAAGGTGGTCATACACACAGATTGTTACAGGCACAAATGTCAAATTACACACACACAAATCTGGGTACAACCGCACACAGTCCAAGTTACGCTTGCGAATCTGCAAATGCAGGACTGCATCAAAAAATCTGTGTGTAAAAAAAGACTTGCGTGTAAAGCGTACATTTTTTTTTTACATTTTTTTTTTTACACACACACAAGTCTAGTTAAGCACACACAAATCTAGTTAAGCACACACACATCTTTTTACGCACACACAAATCTGTTTACGCACACACAAATATTATTGAAACAATAATAGCTCCATAGTTAAAAGATAAATGCATAGCGCATGTATTATCATTAAAAATAATGCATTAGTTTTGTATAGTGCTTTTTGAACTCTCAAAGATGCATCACAGTTATTATTCATTTACTCAATACACAGTGGTGATAAACTACTACTGTTGCCACACCTGCCCTGGGGCACACTGACAGAAGTATTTGCCATCGGCCTCTCCAACCGCCACCAAACACACGCCTGACTTCTGATATGAGGGAAGTGTCTTGCCAACACTTGCTTTTAGTACTCCAATGTGTGTGTGAGTGTCCTACGCTCTCATACACTCACACTCATAGACACACTCATATTCACGCACGCACAGCATACAGAAACACACACACACACACACGCACAGCATACAGAAACACACACAGATACACGCACACACACATACAGAAACAGACACACACACTTATATAAGTGAGTGAGTGTAAGTTTACTAATTGTTGTATGTTTCTTATGTAGATCCTACAGGTTCACATTGACACGAACTGCGGCTGAGTTGGAATACTCCCAGAAAGTACTCCGGTAAGTATTTAATAATTAAAGTACTCTTGTAAGTACTTCATTATAAAAGTACTTTTGTAAGTATTTAGTTATTAAAATACTCTAGTAGGTATTTAATTATTAAAGTACTCTAGTAAGTATTTAATTATAGAAGTACTCTTGTAAGTATTTCATTATAAAAGTACTCTAGTAAGTATTTCATTATCAAAGTACTCTGGTAAGAGTGCCAGAATGCCCTCCGGTTCATGCACGGCCATGATTGGTTGAGAAGCCTCTGCCTACATTTACAGCGATATGTTTATCTCGTTATCGTTTTATTGCACAGCCCTAATTTATTGTCATTGTCACAAAAACAAGCTACATTTTGAGAGTCATGGTAACAGCGTACAGACGCCACGCCCCTGTGATCCAAGATGGAGTCCTGTTCAAATGAAGGGGTTGTGCTCAGTCGAGATTAGCGGAACTCGCCCATATTTGGGCATCGTCTGATCCTCCCGGTTCTGTGCAGTGGAAAAGCTCCCATCATGCACAGAGGGGCTCGGCCGCGCTTTGACCAATCAGAGCTGCTGATCAGAGCGGAGCTAGAGCAAAGCTAGAGCGGGAAGGAAACGAGCAGAGTTTGGCATTAAAGTGTAGATTTATAGAAGCTTATGAAAGCTGTAGGTTCTCTGTCAGATGTGGTCGAGCTGTTTTTGAGTTTTAGTTCTATGGGACATTTTTTTGGGTAGCCCACGTGAATTTTGTCTGCATTACCACGGGCGCCCTCTGTGCCCATGGGTGGGCATTACTAGCTATTAGCTAGTACTGCTCTATCCAGTTATTATTATAGATCCATGAGCGACACATGGTGTGAGTATTGACCCATTATCGAAGGAGGAAGTGAAGAATGCCAAACACGCTGCAACAAATAGTTACAGCTTCAGGAGGCTTTCATCACGAGCCAAAACGCCCAGAGCCACGGACAGAGGATGCACGTTTGGGCTGGTCTCTCTCTCTGGTCTCTCTCTTATCTCTCTCTGTTCTCTCTCTATTTGCCCTGCTTCAGAACCATGTGTAATAACCGTGCTCCTCTGGTCTCTTCCCCTCTCACTACACAGTTAATCCGCGACACACGCTGATCCACTGCTTCAATGAGCTGACATTTAAGTCCTCTCAATCATGGATCTGCTCAAATGGTCTGCTTCACATGGTCTGCCTACATGGTGTCTGCTCTGGGGTCTCTGCTCTGAGGTGTCTGCTCTGGGAGATCTCTGCTCGGAAGTGTCTACTCTGAGGGCTCTTATTTCAGGCTCCGTTTCACAGGAATGACAAACATGTTCAATTAAACAACAGTAGTGTTGCTTCAGGACCAGAGAGAGACCAGAGAGAGACCAGAGAGAGAGACCAGAGAGAGAGACCAGAGAGAGAGACCAGAGAGAGAGACCAGAGAGAGAGACCAGAGAGAGACCAGAGAGACCAGAGAGAGAGACCAGAGAGAGAGACCAGAGAGAGACCAGAGAGAGAGACCAGAGAGACCAGAGAGAGACCAGAGAGAGAGACCAGAGAGAGACCAGAGAGAGAACAAAGAGAGACCACAAAAGACTCCAAGTTGCCATATGGTAAACACATGCTAGTGAAAACTGGGGGATGAAGAATTGTTTCTTGCCGATGCAGAAGTCTGTTAGACAGTTAGTGTCTAAGGACTGTGGTGAGGATCCAGGACACTTTAACATCCTACAACATGTACGACATTTATCAACATTCACTGACATTGGTCTCTCCCTATGGTCCATTACCATGTGTTCTCTCTGTGTTTGAACGGTTTGATTCTCTGATCTGTGTTGGCGATTTCAACAGTTTTGTTAAGTCCTCTGAGATAACTACTGTTGTGATTTAGGGCCATACAAGAATACATTGAATTGAATTGACTGGTGGATGGAGACTTATGAGGACTGCCCTCTGGTCTCTCTTTCTTTGAGCCTTATGAGGACTGGGGGATGGAGACTTATGAGGACTGCCCTC